CCCTTTAGGGCCCCGTCTTTGGTGGTCTATTGGCTTTTTGGGGCGCGCGCGGAACGCTACGCGCCATACGCTCGGGTCTGGTTCTGGTAGGGCGGCGAGCTGCCCTTACTCGCCGACCGCAGACCCACGCTTACGGTGGCCGGAGATCATCTCTCGATCCCCGACGCCCGGAATGTCGCCTATTGCGGCGGCTGGGGCGTGATGAGGAGGATTGCTCTCTCACGCGGGCCGCCTTCCTCTTTGCGAGCATAACAGCTTCACAGAAGAAGGAGACGGCGTCCCAGTTCCTCTCACTCCACACCATGGCCTCGACTAAGGCCGGGCGCGAGACTCGATCGATGCTCCACCGTATCCTACCTTGGTAGGCTTAGCGTTTCGTTTTTCGTTTCGTGGTCGGAAGCATGGTTTATTGATTACTAGCTTTTTCCCGCGACTTCGTTCGCGTGTAATAGTCCTGCAGAACTGTCCTATGTCCTTTCTCGAGTTTAAAACTATGTCTCTAACAAATTTTAGTCAGTAGTTTTTGCGTGAACAAAAGACAGACAGACAGACAGTAACTTTCGAATTTATAATATTAGTTTGCATAGATACTTCCGTAGTTTGAAATTGACACACACGTGGAAAACATTGAACGCAGTTGACACCCCCTGTGTCAACTGCGTTCATTCGTAGACTTGCACCTGCTAATTTTTTCTATAAGTATACATAAATGTATGTATATTAAAATGAATCGTAAAATGTATTGGTAAGCGCAAAACTCAATTACGCCTGAACCAATATTATTGGCAGACCGAATTCAAAATACTCTACGAGATATGGATACTGAAGAAATAAAATGCGATCCAGACTGAATATTTAAATGAATAAGTCTTCTACATTTTAAAAAGCATCATTTTGTATACTAAAGTAGTGTTGAATAGTTACAATGTTTATGAATAGACTTACCAGGGCCATCCTTGAGCAATACGTGCGAAGGTTTTAAACAAATTAAGCATTGATGACTTTAAAAAGATAAAGAACCTGTACTTTAATACTATCAGTAGGTATAACCAAGCATTTGTTTAAAAAAAACAGTTCATTATCGTGGGTGCGTTTACAAAACCTACAATTTTCCATACACATCGCACCTAGACCCCGAATAACAATTTGTCGATCACAGAAAATTGTGCCGTGCGAGAATCGCACCGAACGACACGTTGTGCTGGTGCCTGTTGCCCAGCCACAGCCCCAACCGTGCATTCCATTCATGCATTACCTATACTACCATTACCGTTTAGCTGTTTAGACTCCAATTACTGCACCATTAATCAATTGTTTTTTCGTTCTCATTAAATCTAGCTACGGGCTTTTTGAGCTCCGTGAACACAAAGTCCTCGACTAAAAATAATATGAGAAATCTAAACATAGAAGTGTATCGTCAAATTAATAAATGTATGGTTGATTATTACGTATTAATAATTTATTTGTTTCGTTTTGGTTTTAAGTTTTAATTGTTAATTAACATTTTCCCCTAGGAAACTATGTAATTAAAACCACCAGTCACACTATGGCGGAAACCGATAAAACCGCAAATGGACCGCCTGTTTCAGTCTCGCGTTTTCGTAAAATTAAGAATGATTGTGTCGTAGGTAGTCCGGTACTCCGGACGGGATAGGTGCACCGTAGCCGTTGATTCATTCCACACCGTTCAGTTTACTTGTCTTATATAAATGTAATGTCTCCCGTCAGCCTTTTGTCTCGCCCAGGGTATGGCGAGAGGATCAGACTATTACTGACTAAACCGCCCACCCGTTCCTTCTCCTGTTCCAGGCCGAGGCCGCTCTCATCCTCATCAGCCTATAAGCGCCCACTGCTGAGCAAAGGCCACGGAGAATGTTTGACCATTATTCACCACGCTTGCTCAAGGCGGATTGGCGATTTCAAGTAGAAATTATAGGTCCAGGTTTCCTCACGATGTTTTCCTTTACCGTATGTCAGTGGTGTCTACATAAATAATCTTAGAAAGTATATACATATAACTCGGAAAAGTCATTGGTACTTGCCAGGTTTCGAACTGGCCCATGCATGAGAAGTGGGCGCCTTATTCTCCGGGCCACCACGACACAGGCCACTCTACCTGGGTGTGATTCTGGTAGAGCGGTGAGCTACCCTTGTTCGCCTATCGCAGACCCGCGCGCCTAAATGCTAGATCCTCAACGTCCAGAGTGCCGCTATAGCTACTGCAAGGGCATGAGGAGGAGATTTCCCTCACGCGCTCCGCCTCCTCCTTTGCGAGCATCAAGAAAGAGGATACGGCTTCCCAATTCCTCACGTCCCGTCAGCCTTTAAGCGGCTAAGACCCGCCGCATTTCCCCTCTAGTGTGGCCGAAGCCATAAGACGGAACGGGTTTAAATTATATGCATAAATGCATAACAGCCTTCATTTATTTAAATATCTGCCGCATCAACTTAATTCGAAGACAATAGCGCAGGCACTGCGCTATGGTCGCATATGCATAGTTGCATCCTCGGTACATCATTTCATTATTTTATAGTCAGTGTTTTTAGAGATCCGTAGTCAACTAGGAACTCTTAAGTTTCGCCATGTCTGTCTGTCTGTCTGTCCGCAGATAATCTCAGTAACGTGTATTTTTATTTTTTGATAATGTTAATATAACAAGTAATAATCGCTAGGTATATAGTAAAAAAAACATCTTAACAAGTTTTGTTATTTAACCGTATACTTATTAACGGCTTTTTTCAATTTTGTTTGTAGGTACTTATATTTTATTATTTAAAAATTAACTTCTATTTAATAAAAAGAAGACCTACATACTCAAGTCATAGTTAACGCAATCCAAAATTATCATTAAAATCTTAACATATTTTATTATTATACAACCCGTCTAGCTTGTACAAATTAGTAATCCACTTCGCTAAGAGATGGCGTTGTACTTTCGCTACTTCTCGCTGAATTACGGGAAATACGGAACTACGGAACTGACCGTAGGCCAATACGCTCTTGGTCGGTTTTTTATCCTTAAAACAATACATATGTATGAATCACAGATAATGTATGTAATGCCTAGACATTGTATGCTTGTTTTTGACTAACTTTTTCCTTTTAAAGTCGCATAGGTACCGTTTCTAAGGTACCTAAGTACTTACATACCGTACCAAGACTGTTTTCCTTTATTTTTATATTTTCAACTGATAGACCATAGTAAGGAGTAGGGTCGCTCTTAAAAAATACATTACCTACCGCCTACGTATCTTGGCGAGTCTGAAGTAAGCCGATTAGCTGCGCAGTACACAATTTTGTTCCTAAAAGATCCATTGCGCAGACAAACGGCTAACTTCAGACTCGCCAAAATACGTCGGCCGTACCAAGGGCCGTACTGTATGAGTACTTATAGGCAGTATGCTGTCCAAAGAGAATACACTATCGTCATTGATGCTGTCTATCGCGCGAGAACATTTATAAATGATACTGAATCGGTTATTATTCGCCAAAAATACCTATCAAATTCGTTATCATTATTCATTAGTATGTAATACGCGCCCAAATATTGTCCTAAAAATAAAACCTACTAATATATTAATTAGTACGTTCAGGTTTAGCTCCAACAAAGCTGAACAAAATACTACCTACTTAAATTATTTAAAAAATTACGTAGGTATACAAATCGAAACAGGAAATTAGATTTAAAATGTTCAATTTATTTGTTAGGAAGTATTACATAACTACACACATAGCTGATAATATAATAGAATAACTATAGCTCCATTCAAATTACTAATTGTATTCAAGTACCTACATAAAGCAATGGTTTAGCAATCATGCAAAATAACTAAATTACACCTTACCGATTGCGAAATAAAGTCGCTTTTTAAAACATGTTTACGATGTCATATGTTGGGAATAAGCGAGCGATGTATAATTTTGATCTCTATGTCACAACAGTTTAGGTGAATAATGGCTTGTGAAATGAATAAGGCTATTTTTATTTGTATTTGTAACATTGATGTGAACTAATGACGTAATTGTTATAACGTGGGTATATCCAAATATGTGATCATGGAGTATACATATTAAAGATTTTCTAATAATTTTAGCACCCTTTTTTTTGGTGTCGGGGTGGAAAACATCATGGAGACCCATCGCCCTCGGCGAAGGGCGAAGGGTACTGTCAGACTACTGACTAAAAACCAACCCGGTGTTCCTCCACTTACCCATGTGTCGGAGGGGCGGGTATCGCCGAAGCAATCGTCTTTTAGCACCCTAATCACACATATTACTACCGCTGTAAATTTAGCTTTCCTATATCATTCTTAATGCCTGTGAAAATTGCATGAAACTTGGCGTACCTACCTAATAGTTCCGAAATAATGTTCGTGGTTTCAGACACATGTAAAAAATCAAGGTAGAAGTTTTGTTTATGTTTTACTATTGTAGAAAAGTTATTGAAAAACAGTTCTTAAATCAATCGTAGCTAGGCAAGCACTTATGTGGCTACCTAGGTAGAAACTACTATGAAAATAAAAAAATAAAAGGTAGGTCTTCTTCGCCTAACTAAGAAGTTAACCTTCAAAAATAAAAATTATTCTTGTGTTACCTACCTAAAGCTGAGTCAATAGGTACTTAGTATACTTTTTGACAATAATTATGCGATGCATTTACAAAACACTAATAAGTAAGTAAATACTCATGTCATCGACTCCCTTATGAAAAATCGCGTTAGGAGTGTACCTATCAGGGGGAGGCAACAGGGTGCGCGCAAAGCGGGTCACTAGTACGAATACACAAGCAAACTTGTTTCACACAAAAACTTGTAGGGAATCATACGGCTAGTAGCAACGCTCAGTACGCCTTACTATCGCACGCGTGACAGACTAGTTTACGCAAAAAACCAACATATCGTCTCGTGTGAATAAAACAATATATTTTCGTAAAAGTGTAAAAGGTGAGTCACCCCGTAACGTCCATATTCCGATGACCTTGTCCGTGCCAGTCGTGGCTTGCGGAGCGTGCGCTAAGCTCGCTAGCCGCCCCAGCCCCGCGCTCCCGCTGTCTACACGGGAACACACGACCCCACGACCAAAAAACACACAGCTAACGAACAGTGCTACACCGCGAAACATAAATAAAAATTAAATTCACGTGATTAAATACAAAATCTTTAGTTTTACGTTCGTAACACGTTCCGATCTGTGCCATAAGTAACGCTCGCTCGAGTATCATCACAATTTGTGTCTCCACTGCGCATGGCGCGCAACTTGACCGGTTTGAGATGCCTCTGAAGTTGAGAGCAAACCAGGCGTTCGACCACCTTTTGTATCTGGCCGGAGAGTAATGACGCGGATGACAAGGCAAAAACAGGTGTGTATCGTGAGTCATAAGAGTCTAATTCGTCTGCAGTTTTGCAATTTAATTTTGTGGTATTGTATTTGAATGGAGACTAAAATAAATTACGTTATATTAGACAGAGATAGAACATAAGAACATGCGTTTTTTGTTGACTTTCGTATATCGGTGTGTTTCTGTTTACAACGGTCAAGGACGAGGCGCTTAGGTTAGGTATCTTATAGAAAAAAATAGCAAACGACATTATTTTGTTGCTAATAAATTTATGAGTGACTTCGTAGGAAGGTATATTTTTAAGTTAAGATTTTTAATAAATTTAATGCCTAATTATTCTTTTATAATTTGTCTAATATTTAAATAGCGAATGTCGTATTTTGTCAAATTGACGAGGAACGTACAGATATATGAGTAACAACATGATTGATCTGTATAGGTATACGTATGTATACGTACCTACCAACCGTTATCACAACGGCTTTCCTAGATTAGGTATTTATTTTTAAAATCGAAGCGTTTTCAAATTCTAATCGCTTTTGATTTCGTTTTTTTTAATTTATGTCTATGTAACTACATTTTTTAGGTTAGGTTCGTTAAATAATACCAAAATATGGTACCCTGGATTTTTTTATTAACCGATCTCAATCCGAAATTTCATCATCACGCTTTCTTTTATTGACAATCTCTTATACCTATTACCTAATGGTAAGCAATGAGAGCCGCCTATAGATACTCGTAAAACTGCAGAGAAGTTAAAACTGCTTTGCCGGCTTTTTGTGGATCTGTGGGCTGTTTGGATTTGGGAATAGGGATAAACCCTATCCCCAATGCCCTGTTAGGTTTTTTTTTGTGAGGGGAAAATCAACAAATGACTTCTCCCGCCCAGGGCCGGGCAGGAGGGAGTGTCAGACTCTTACTGACTAAAAACCCCCCTGTTCCTTCTCCTGCTCTATGCCCAGGTCGCGGTGCCTCATTGCGCTCACAGGGCAGCCGGGGTTGCGGGGTAAGGTTTGGATTTATGAAATAAAACAAAGTTTATTTATCAAATAGCAGATGTGGAATTTATTGTTATATCTATAAGAGGTGTGTGTTGCCAGTGGTTTGAAACATAAGTAGGTTTGATTGATTTTTGTTATTCCAACACTCTTCAAGCCCAAATCGATCTCCAATAACCGCACACACACGGCGAAATAAGTCAACACAACAGTATACGGGTTACATACAAGAAAAGTCAATGTAGATGTAGATCCGTTAAGGTCGTGTTGTTTGTATCGTTGCTAACTGATTCGACTATGAAACACCCTACCCTAAACCTAACCATTTTCAAGATATTCCACTTTTGTATTTTTACTATTCGCCCGCGTGGTATGTTGATAAAAGGTAGCCTATGTCCTATTCCGGAGTGCATCCTATGCCTGTGCCAAATTTCATGCAGATCCATCCAACCGTTTTGGCGTGATTGAGTAACAAACATCCAAACATCGTAACTTTCTCATTTATAATATTAGTAAGATAAGATAAAATTTAACGAATTTTTAACATCTTAAATGCATACTTTGAAAACTTTATATACATTTATATTTGGTATTATTATTTACTTTTTCTTTTAAGAATAAGATGTTTTATGACATCAATAACCAAAATTGTTAGTTAATTTAATAGACCATTGAAATTAAAAATTAAAAGTCTATTTATAGATACAATGCTTTCAAGCATAACCAAAAAGGATATAATGGCAGCTGTTCTGGAGTTGTGCCAAAATATGTATATTTTATCAGCTATCTAACAAACTACCATAATCAAAGGTTTTAGCAAAATTAAGTACCTAATAGAAAAACTCGATAAGATCACACATGTAGCAGTTCTAAAGGTTAATTGCCTATTGTTCTTAGAAATAATAAGATTACTATTTATGATTTATGCAAGTTTGAGTGAGAAAGTTAATATGTCGAATGAATTTGGTAATACAACATGCTCTGGTGTTTTCTTTGGTTGTAAACTACATATACCTAGTCTGTTTATGTGATTCGTTCATGGTAGATACGTCATCGTTTTGATCCCTGTTTTCTATCAGACTTGGCGGTGATTTTGGGCTGTTTGTTTCCCATTTGTAACTTATGCATGTTTACTGGACTCTGGTTTCTGCTTGTGATACGGAATTGTTGACTATGGCGATGTACTCAAACGAGGAATCGGAGAAATCGGCGTGAAACCACTACAGCGTTGTGTTTCCTCGTGTGAGACGTTTTCGGGGGCCCAATTCCTCTACTCTCTTCATCCCTTCTCAATCCTTAAATATCTGAAACCCTTATCCCTTAAAAGGTCGGCAGCTCACTCTTAACTCCTTTGGTATTGCGGGTGACCACGGGCGTCATTTGCGGTCCTATCACATAAAAAAAAGACTTCGTGAAACTGGCCCTTATTTTCTACCAAAAAATGTTAATGGGGAATATTATGAAAACTGCTTGAGAGGAAATCTAAGTGATTTACTGGAAGATTTGCCACTCGCTCTGCCCCAAGAAATGTGTGTACAGCACGATGGCTGTCCGGCATTTCGGAAGAGGTGTCAGAGAATGGTTCCATCCATATATAACTTAGTTTGTAAGATCTTGATTCCTGTGTAAACAATTGTTGGTGAACCAAATAAAAAAAATATCGTACTTCCTTAGTTGCTTATGGAGCTAAGTTTTGTGTGTAAATTCTTATAAAAACTAGATTATGATACCTTGTTGGATAGCTGACAAAACGCAGATATATCAAGCATATCTGCAGATCGTCTCCATAATAACTTTTTTGGTTATGCTTAAAAAAACACTCCTTTTTAATTAACCCCCGACGCAAAAAGAGGGGTGTTATAAGTTTGACGTGTCTGTCTGTCTGTCTGTGGCGTCATAGCTCCTGAACGAATGAACCGATTTCAATTTAGTTTTTTTTGTATTACAGGTGTTTTACGGCCAAGTGTTCTTAGACATGTTTCATGAATAGCGATTGACTCTTTAAAAGTTATGGGGGGTTAAAGTGGGGAAGAAAAATCGAATGTCTGCAAATATGCTCAAGTGGGGTATCAAATGAAAGGTTGTGACTTGTACTTATATTATATTTTATACAAAAATAATCCTTATAGCATGATTCAGCGTTCACATGTGACGGCACGAAGCGCTAAGCTATCAGGAGTTACACGTGCTTTTGTGAGTTAACCATAGAAAATAGACATATGCTGTTGAACATTTTTTTTAGTTAATTTTATGTAGAATATTTCCGTTGTACATAATTTCTATCTAACTTTAACCATTAAGGCTACACACGCGACGGATACTTAAAACAGGGAGTAATTTCTCCCGTTTTCCCAACATTTCTCTTCACTGCCCTGCTCCTATTGTTTGTAGCGAGATGAAAAGTATCCTGTAACCTGCCCAGGAGTATAAAGAATAATTGTACTATAGTCAGACTTTTAATTCGATTCCTGATTTGACATTGACCACTGTCATTTTGTGAAATAATGATACCACATATAACAATGTAGTGTTGGATACAAAAATCGATAAACAATCAGTGAATCAGTTTCAGGAAGGCATTCAAAAAATTACGGCTACCGAATGGTCTAAATGTGTATCCCATGTTTTCAAAGAAGAGGAAAAAATGAGTAATCTAGATATGTTAATTGACAATAAATATCAAAGACATAATTTATAATAAATGTTACATAGAGTAACGGCGATAGCGATAGCGATGACGGCAACAATTTATAAAATGTCTGTTTTATTAGTCACGTTCCTTTATGATCACATTTTTTATTAATTTCACACACAATTACAAAAGAAAAGTCTCAGATCGTTAATTAATTGTCAAAACTAAATTATCGGTTCAGAAATATTTTATTTCCTGATAAACTTAGTTTACGAGAGTAAATTTATAAACGAGAGGAATCGATTCAGAAATATTCGATTTCCATATCGAATAATTTCGCAACGTCACTATTTATTACGTGTCATAACGTTGCAACACTGAAATTGTCAAATCTGGAATGGAATTAAAATTCCGAGTATAGGTTTTGTTAAAATCCGTCGAGTATCTTTTGTTTCTATAAGGAACATACATACACACAGACAGACAGACTGACAGACAAACAAAACTTTTACAGATTACATTTTTGGCATCAGTATCGATCACTTATCGCCCCCTGATAGTTATTTTGAAAATATCTTTCATGTGCAGAATTGACCTCTCTATAGATTTATTACTATTTATAAGTATAGATTTACAAACTATGCAAAAATTCGATAAATTAAAGAAAGTCAAATATTTCGATAATGGTTAGGTTTAGGGTAGGGTGTTTCAAGTCGAATCAGTTAGAAACGATTTGGGGATAGGGATGGGGGGAAATATTACTTAGTCACTCGCCGTAATATTCTGTGACACAGTGGTATCACTCCGGTCGAGCTGGCCCATTCGTACCGAAGCATAGCTCCCCACTCATACTCGTTAAAAACATTTTGTTGGCCCAACATGACAATTAATATGACCGTCATAGTTAATTTAGGTAATTTAAAATGGTTGTAACGTTTCATTTCAACGGACAATGCACTTTTGACCTATCTACACAATCCATCCATATTGATAAATCTTACTTAATAGGACGTATTTATTAAAATAAACTGAATCCAATAGGTTATGGGCCCAGGATACGCGTTTGTCGACATTAAGTAAAGAGCAGTTTAACGGTTTTAGTTTGTCGAAGTAAGAATAGTTCCGGTTCGGATTGCAATCATGGAGAGAATTCCATGAGAATTGAAAAGTTCAGCGGTAACAACTGTAGACAGTGGAAATTCCAAGTGAATTGTTCTTTATAAGCAAAGGATTAGATATCAACAAGAAAAGACCCAATGTCGCTGATACTACACATTGGGAAAGAGATGATGGAATGGCAATCTTTGTTATAACCTCGTCAATGGACCTCGGCCAAATCTCGCTCATTGACAATTGTGAAACGGCAAAAGATATAATGGTAAAATTGGTAT